ATAATCATTTATTTAATCTTTTAATATATAAGGAATTCATTATTTTACTATTTTCACCTGTTGGAAGCTTAAGGTTGGTGAATTTCAAGGTGGAGAATTAATTTTCTATTATCCTCAATCGTTAAAAATCTAAGCAAGGGTGTCAGATGTTCAAGGAATAGGTCTAAGGAACATCGTCGATTTATTAAATCGCTTCTATAACTATACAATTCACTTCGACAGCTAAAGATTCACTTAAGAAATTCTATTCGGTTTCTACGTGTAGATTAAAACGTTTAATAATATACACAACTAATGGCGACTTCCTGTCGCTTGTATTTACCATCTCGAGGTGTCGAAAATAGCCTCTGTTGCATTAGCTACAATTGAAATAGATGCAACCTGTCGTTACGTCATTGAACGCAAAATCAGCCGAAGCGTTTCCGGGTGAAACTTAATTCTATCAGAGTCCCTATCCCGGCACGCACTTTTTTCCCCACTCTCTATCTCTGTCACGAACGAGTTATTTCGACATCAATAAATCAACGGTGACCGCGTTGCCAAACGCGGGCTTTACTGATCACAATGTAACACGATTGATGATCACACCTGTACCATCATCCGCTTCCGCGTTTCTCGTCCAACCGGGTCCAATTTCTGATTTTCTTTCCGCAACACGAATCACCGTGGCATTCCGTCGAATTAACCGTCTTTCTTTAAACTAGCATTAGTCCACCTTATTTCCTTTAACTTCAAAATATTGCGAATTTGAACTCGTCGAAATTCTACCTTCTCTTGAATTTAACGTTGCAAATGGCGAGAAAACGGTGTCAGTTTGTAACTCCAAAGGAGGTTTAACTTTGCTTCCCTTTTATTCTCAATCGACGCAGTTTTTATAATTAACAGTAGAAAATTACTTTCAAATAAAATTCACTATCAGAACGTGATACTATAGATCAACGACAAATTGCAAATCTCTCGGTCTAAATGTAATAGACGTCTAGATCACGAATCGAACGAAACTCAGCGCAGAATAGTTAATCAATTCCGTTCCAAAAGGCTGGACGCGCCTCTTAACATAAATCTAGTAATCGACTGAATCACGAATCAAACGAAACGCACTGTAGAATCGTCAGTCAATTCCCTTGAAAATAAATCGACGCGTCTCTCGATCTAAATCTACCAAGATAGCTAGATCATGAATCAAACGAGACTCAGCGTAGAATCGTTAGTCAATCCCCTTGAAAATAAATCGACGCTGTTCCTCCGTCTAAATCCAACAGATCACGAATCGAACGGAGTACACCGTAGAGAATCGTTAGCCGATTCCGTTCCAAAAGGATCGACGCGTCTCCCGATCTAAATGTAGAGTGGTGGTCAGATAGCGAGCGTCTCAATGAAACCGTAAGTCGTAGAGAGCACGCGCCGCGTCGCGCGTTGCATCGCGTTCAATTATGTAACACGCGGATTACTTGTACCCCATTAATTTCTCCTGATCGCGCAACGCTCGTGTCACTGGCCAGCCGGAATCCCGTTCCTCCCGGTTCGCCAGCCGGGATACCGCACGAACAGACGTCCGCAAGTTCGTATCGCCGGGGGTGGTTATGTCGAACAAAAGTCGAGCACACGACCGTCGCTGTTCTACAGTCCTAACCTCACGAAATACCAACGGCTGGGCCGGTTGCCAGATCACGAAGGTGGTCTGACCAGTGCAACGTGTAACTACTCGAGTCTGCGAAAATCCGCCGCGATTAATGCGTTTCTTGTGCGAGCAGCACTTTTGTCTCGAATCTGTAGCTTCTTCGTGGAATTCGCTCTTTTGGTAGCAACATGTGAACGTACAGTTTCGCCGATTCTACCATGCAGTTTGTTGGTTTAGTATCGATATGGAAATAGTGCCTTTTCTGGTAGATTGAAATGTAGAAAAATTCCATCTTTTCTTTTTATTGTTTGATGGATATTGTTGTTTAGGAACGTTTAGGTTAGTCAGTTTGTTGATACATGACGAACTTGGGAATAATTAGAATTATTAATATTAAATGACAGGAATTGTCGCCTAGATTAAGCCTAGACTGTAGAGTTAGTAGAAGAATACGTAAGAAGGGAAACGGTAGACGTAGATGTCTGACTATCGGTGGGTTACACTACTGGATACCGAGGATAATGAGAAAAATGTGGAAAATTCGAGAATACCAGCGATTGTTCCGCGGATTCTGGGTCAAGTACTATACAGCAGCGAGTCTCGAACCTTGTTTCTCATACCTGGCAAGGTTACCGAGATCGCGGCCGGATTCCAATAAAAGTTTGGCGAACTTTCAGCCATTAGGAATCATTACTATCCGCTTTTGTTCGTCATACGCGTGAACATCTTGTAAATAATCAGAGAACAGTTTCTCTTTCTTACGTAGATCTGAATGTTTCTCCTTTTTTACGGATCGAGAGAGTCTAACCTTCGTAGATGATCGGTTCCCTCTCACGGAAATATGTGAGGGCTGGGAAAGTCTTGATGCCATACTGTTTGGCCAGTCGTTTGTCGTTGATCTTGACGAAGTCGACCCCGAAATGGTCCGTGTCGTCGTCGATCTTCTCCAGCTCGGCCAACACCTTGTCGCATGTCGTGCAGCTTCTTGCATCTAAAAGAAAATTCAGTCAATTGTTGGAGATATTCGCCACTTGAAGATTCTCCTACTCCGAATCCACAAACTCAGCACTGAGTGAGACCACCTATTCTGTCACAATGATTGTTATTTCTGTAAGCAATTTTATCTAACCATTTTTCACGAATTTCATCTACCTTGTAAACCTTATTTAAAAAAGTATATTTTGAAAATTTCATGTCAAGGATATTTTCTCCACGTAATAGTTTATTACGAAGATTTGCTATAGAATAGTTCGACAGGCAACTCTAACATCGATAAAACGAAAAATTGATCAAATACCTTCCCCAAGAACTCGATATCTCAGAAGAAATCAGTTTCCAAAGAGCAGCTGAACAATGTTGCTCAACGTGAACCAACATTGAACACCGAAATCGAACGCAACAACAGTTCGTACGGCGTCAGACGTGGTTGGCAAAGAGAACAGGTATCTGGTGAGGTTAACGATCATTTCTTCTCGGGCACCGTGGTCCTTGGTGCCGGCCTTGCGTTACAGAAGAAGGAAAACTAATCCTTCGCGTGCAAGTTTTATGCTTATCGTCGCTGGCTTGGCAGTTCCAAGCGTTCTTGGCCGGCTCCGATCCGTTCCGCTCGCCGTCGCCGCGACCAGCTACGCGGGTGTTAGGTTACAATCATTGGATATGGACACCAAGGTGTCCGTCCACGGTTTCCCCATCGATTCCCTCCGTCGATCTAGATGCCACGGGGATCGAAGATCTCGAGCAACCCAGACGAAAAGAATCTCTGCGCTACGTGAAAGAAGGAAGCGGTCGAACAGGTGGACGTCGCCATTTTTGGCCATCGCGTCCTCAGAATAGAGTCACAAAGGCTGTGAGAGGCGGATTCGACTCTCTTCTTCACAGTCTTTCTCTTTCTTTACACTTGCCGCTTCCTCTCTCTCTCTCTCTCTCTCTCACTCTTTCTTGGTTACTCGGTGTTCTCGTGTTCGATTCTATTTTCGCGTGGCCACCGGCAGAACTTTTGTGAAGGAACGCGAGATACAAAGTTATCTCTCTTTTGTCTTCTGCTTGTAACGATTCACCCGACGACTTTCCTCTTTTATTTATCTTTTCTCATTCGTGAGGTTTTATTCGCTTCTTCGTCGTGTTTCGCGTTTCTTTGCAGATTTCCACGGTTGATACACACTCCGGCACCCTCGCGTTCAGCTTCGGCGGAGGATGAACGCGAGGAAGAGAGGGAGAGAGCAGGCGAGATGTTGAAAAACGTGTGCCAGTTAAATTGGACCGAATCCACTCGTCTTGACATCGCGATGGTGGAAAGGCGAGAGAAATTGCTCGGTTACGCGGGAAAATTCCTGTTCGAATCGGTGGGAGGAGGAAAGTTTTTGGCAAAAATTCTGGCGATGATCCGATGAACATTTTGTCAGAACGTAAAGTCGACTATTGCTACAATAATTACCCTTTCATATTTTCTTCTCTCGAGATTCGTTTTAGGTATAAATTTTTGTTAGTTAGTCGAATTTCAAGGTAGAATTATAGCATTATTTTCTCTAATTTACAAATATTTATAGTTCACGAAATAGGGGAAATTTTGGTTTAGATTAGGAAACAGATAGTTTACCACGCTGTGGCTCGAAAGAACGATAATTTTCTCGGGTGGAGAATAATATTGAAGATTCGTAGACTACGAAAACTGATCTTCCCGGTGGAGCAGAGACTCGCAAACAAAAATATAAATAGAGCGACACAAAACAATTCTATTTTTATTTCCTATCGTGTCCACCCACTCGTTCCACTCCTAAACGGATCGTCGAATCGAGAACGAAAAATACGCTAGAACCCGATTTCACGCTCAGCCTATCGATCACTGTGGTTCAGCGTCGCTCGTGAATCATCCGTGGTCTGTTCCTGGAAATTCTACCGCGTTTCCTGGTCCCAGATTATTCCTAGAAATCTCTGCTTACTGTCCTTCCGACATCCCTAAATTATCAAAGTTATTACCAAGTATTCTATATTTTTTGCAGTACAATTTCTAAAATATTTTTTCAAACATTTAATTCTCAATTATATACCTTCAGACGTTCAACCCTTTATTTCACTGGGACCTCCAATTTCGTCGCAACTTTCACTCTTTCATTTCCAATTTCTAATTCCCTATAATCTTCCAATTTCCATTCAATCACCATCAATCCACAATTTCTCATCCCCTTTCGAAGTTCATTTTTACACCACCTTCCAACGCATCAATTTCCCTCCACTTTTCACGAAGACAACGAACCACTACGTCACGTCCCACAAAACGCCCACAGCTCCAAAATAAAAATCAACCTAAATTCTATCTTCCAGCACATTCCAGCACGTGTACATTCGAATCTCCAGATGAAAGCCTCTCGATCCTACAACGAGGTACTCGATGGGGTATGTCTATCGACAGAAGATTGGATGACGATACACGCCGCGGCCTTGGTACCGCTGGAAACATAATCGCGTGGTCCACGTACCGCCCTTCTTCGACGTTTCAAGGTGGCGGAATCGAGGAGGCAGTTACTCTGGCGCGAGCACGCGCGCGTGAGAAAAGGCAGCCCCTGGCGTGCGAGGAACAGAGACGAAGAGATCGAACGACGGCCAGTGCCTAGTTTACGAGCCACTAAAAATACGAGAACGAACGGCCTCGCCGTCCATCGCGACATTTTACTCGCAGACGTTCCGCTCGCGGACGTCTTCTCGCGAGATTCTTCGAAATACGAGGGGGTGAAGCGTGAAGAAATTGAAGAAATTAGGGAAACACAGCGGAAGAATAAAAAGGAAGCTTGATCTTCAAGGAAAAATAACTGGAAACGGAGGTTCTTAATTTTTTTTCTCTCTTCAAGGGGTGAAAATGTCAGAAAAACAGCTTCAGACACTTCGTTTCTAATTTGGAACAAGAAGAAAGGGTTGAAAGTGTCACGAAGTAAGCTGAAAAAATTAAAACACTTCATTTTTAACTTAGAATAACATAAAGGGGGTGAAAATGTCACAAGGAAAGCTGAGAAAAATAGTTAGAAATACTTCCTTTCTAATTCAAGGCAAGAAGAAATGGAGTGAAAGTGTGACAAAAGAGGATAAGAATAATTCCACGAATACACAACCGGTTGAAATTTATTTACAAAGAAAAAGCTATAAAAATATCGAAGGTTGCGAAGACCTGGAAGAAGATACCTGTCGATAACGATTTTCTTCTCTTTTCCAACCAAAGGGTGAACGCAGTAGTCGATAGTTTTATTTATACCGGAAGAAGCGTTCGAAGCACATCTTCAGGGTCCCAGCCCGCCTCTAAAGATAGCCACTCAATCGGTCGTATTTCTTGTCTCGCTTAGAGACGCGTGGGTCGCGATTGTGTCGGTATTGGTGAGCTTCAGAGCGTGAACCAAACGATTTAGGACAACGCGTGGGTGTATCGAGCTTGCGCTATAACTCACAGGTAAACCCGTGCAAGTTTCGCCTCGTGGGGATGTTCCAGCACGTGCGACGATTTACCTTCGATTCGAGCTTACACGCGTGCTTCGTTTATTTTCTCTTCGCGGGGTTTAAATCGAGAATGAATAGAAATTATGGCCTTGCTAGTCCTTGAAAGAACGTTTCATGGACTCGGGGGAAAGTTAAATCGAAGTTCTTGAAAGTTTTATGGTTTTCTTCGGTGTAAATCAAAGTTCGAAGCATCGATATCGTCTTCAGATATTCTTTTTCATTTGTTCGTAATCACAGTTTGAATTTAAAGGGCAAGAAGTAGCGACGTTTCGCAAGAAGTAAGAGTGTTTGGTGTCAAGGCTGTAAATTTTGTAAGTCCAAGGTGCAGTGATCAGCGTGACAGCCATCTTGTCGCTAGGAAGCATTTTTAGAGAGAACTTCACAGATTTTACACGCGAATTTATGGGATTTCTGTGTTTAATCAACTCACGCTTGTTTGCTTTCGTAGCAGGTGGCTTCCAATGAATATTTCGCGCGTCTGCGATCGTTTTATTGCCGACTTGCACTCGTAGATGTTAAATAAACGGTGGAAATCATAAATGAATCTCGAGTAAACGTGGACGTTAACCGTAGAATTCTTCGGTAATAGTGAAATATCCTGTAATAACGTATCCATAAATGCCCAACAGTCGTAAATCTTCTAGTCCATTGCATCGATGAACTTCTATTTTCTTCATCTTTTCTATCTCTTCATTTTTTCACGCTACTTTTAACACCCTTCGAAATTTCCTCGCACATCACGCCACAGTGATTCAATATTAGAGTGAAATGATTTTTAAAGGGT